ATTTGTTTCTGGTTTTTTTTCAGTGGAAAGTTGGTTTCACCAAAATGGAAAAATTTCAAGGGATTGAAACTTCAGTGGAGGGATAAAATCCGTCTCAATAATGCCATCTGGAGAGCCTGGTACATGCAGTGTAAGTCCCACTCGGGGGGCTGGTTCTGAGGCAGAGGGGAGGACAAGGGGGTCGAAATCCTTGTCTAGTGCAATGCTCAGAATCCTGCTCGGTCTCGGAGGCTGCCGTGGCCTTGCGGTCGGACCGAGGCCCTCTCAGAGGTGCCCACAGTGCCCCGAGCACAGCCTGCCCCGTTCCTGGTGCCTACTGGGGAGGAACCCTGGAAGGCTGGACTGCAGTCCCATCTTGTCTCTGCAGAGCCTGCATGGGCTGAGCACTGGCATCGGTGAACCGTACGAGGAGTGGCCGAGGTCACTTGGTCTGTTCTGTCTGGAGAAGAGGAGGCTGAGGGGAGACTCATGCCAACCCACAGCTCCTCCCGAGGGGCAGTGCAGGGGCAGCTCTGACCTCTGCTCTCTGGGACCAGGGGAGGGTTAGGTGGATATCAGGAGGTTCTTCCCCCAGAGGTGTTTGGGCACTGAACAGCTCGCGGGGCAGTGTCCCAACCCCAAGGCTGACAGAGCTCAGGGAGTGTTCAGCCAATGCTCTGAGGCACGGGGTGGATTGTTGAGGTGTCTGTGCAGGAGTTGGACTGATGATGCTCATGGGTCCCTTCCAGCTCCAAACAGTCTGTGATTTTCATTGCTTCCATTCCGTTCCAGACCTGGAGAAGCGCAAGAACCCAGTGTGCCACTTCGTGACGCCGCTGGACGGCTCCGTGGACGTCGACGAGCATCGTCGGCCAGAGGTGTGTAGGACCTGGGAGCAGGACAGTGAGCTCTAGAGCTCGTGATGAGATGTTCTTGTCTGCTACATTTGAGGGCAGCATAGCAAGTCTTTACCCTGTTGTCTGTGTTTAGAAGGGATCATTAATGAAGAGCAGACTGAACCATTTTTGTAGGATTATCACATTCAGATGATCAGAGTGCAACCAGAAGGATATTTCTTGTCTGTGTAACTTCTGTCATTGTTCTAGTTTGATGAATCACAAGTCACAGAAGTGCAATTTGAATGGTTAAGACTGTGACAGCCACTGCTGTCTGCTGACTGGCAGTTGGTGGGAAACCTCAGTGGTGGCTGAATCTAGGTGACCCTGGGAGCTTTCTGTGTGTGGTGTAATTGGCAGGGTGTGGTTTCAAGACAACAAGCAACTTCTTTTTCTGTGTTGAGGTAACTTCACAGAAAGAGCAAATATGAGTTTGTGTTCTTTCATCTTTGTGCTCTTGTAAACATAACTGAAAACTAACATCTGCCCTCTGGCTCCTTGCAGAAAACCAGTGAGGCCCTTGATGTATGTGGCAATATGTGGCTCTATACTGCCTATCTCTAGAAAAATTTGTAACTCAGAGGAGTTCCAGATGAGTTTGTGGAACTGTCTCAGGTTTTGGAGAGAACAGTGTTGATGTTTGTGTTGAAAGTGACCCTCGAACACAAAGTTAAGGCTCTCATTAGTCTGCTCTCCCCAACTTTCACACTGCTCCCTGTGACACGTTAAAGACCCATATTTGTGCTGTTCCTTTTGCTGCCATTAGTGTGTGGCCTGCAAGGTCACATTCCCCCCTGAGTTGAACATCAGATTTCTATTGCTTTGTGCCATTCCCAGCAGCTTTTGCTCGTGTGTGTGTCTGTGCATGTAACCTTGTGATGTTCACAGGACACTTTGTGCCTCATGTTTCAGTAAATTCATTTTAAAGTGGGTTTTTTGCCATTCCTTAACTACTGGTTGTGGTTGAGCTGCTGTGGGAGATGCTGACAGTGCAGTCAGACATCATCTCCTGTTTGTTTTTTGTGGGAAGGGTGAAGTTAGTACTGTCAGATTTGCTCTGTGGTAGCTGAGCTCTGGGCCAGTGTGGGCTGCTGATACATGAGCTCAAACAGAATTAGCATGCTTTCTTTTGCATTTTTTATGCCTGAATATTTGCTTGGAAATGTATTGAATATTCAGCCCTTGTGTGGCTCTGTGTAATTCATGGTATGTGTTTGTGTTCTCAGGCCATTGCAACAGAAGGGAAATACTGGAAACGAAGAATTGAGATGGTCATCAGGGAATACCACAAGTGGAGAACATACTTCAAGAAAAGGGTTGGTTTACACAGTGAAAGTGTCTTGAACTTGATCGGTATATTGTTGCTTTTTGAGCTTTTCTGTCCCTTTTTCTAGCATGCCTAAAACAGATGCTAAGCTGGTACAAACATGCTCATCTGATTAGTTCCACTGAACTACAAATTGTTGTGCTGGGACTGATTGTGCATGATTGGGTCTTAAAAGTTTTGCAAAATCAGGTCTTCTGCTGGCACATACAGGACCTAATCTGACTTTAATATCTGTTTTGTTCTCCTTTTGCAGTTACAGAAACATAAAGATGAAGATCTTTCCAGTTTGGTCAGGGTAGGTAGCACCACTGAGAAGTGGCAGCATTTGTGGCTGTAGAACCTGCAGTAGGTTGTGTGTAAAAGCTGCAACATGCAGTAGCTTGCATTGATTAAAATCTAGAGACAAGCATCTTGCCTAAGCCTTAATTAAGGTTAGACACCTTAACGCTCTGCACCTTAGAGAGCAGTGTAAGAATTTGTAGTTTAAAATGGATGGAGGAGAGGTGGAATATAAAGTGCTGTGACAGAAGGAGTGGGAATCAATATTGCATGCCCACAAAGATCAAACTCTGAGGGCTGGCACGTGGTTTCAGCTTGTTACCCAGTTGTGACTGGCACGGCTGCCTTGCTTGTGTAACTGGGGCTGTGAAGATATGTCTGCTGCATGTTGCAGATCTTCCTGCTGTGCCCATAATGTGGGCAGATAATGTGCCAGGATCCTAAAAAAGTCATCATGTTTAAAGGCACAGTGGTATCACCATTTAGATGTCTCCTCAAGCCATCAGACCTCCTTTGGGCATATGAACTGGTGCTCAGGAGCACTGTCCTGTTTGGTTTTTTCTTTGTGGAGCTAAGGGCAGCTTGGATCTGTTCCAGCCTCACAAAGCTCTCAGCTGCTTTGGCCACAAGCTCCAGTGGACCATCATGGTGTGTTGGTGCAGCTACAGCTGCACTTTGGCTCAGTCACAGGAACCTGCCTGTGATCTGAGTCTGGCTCAGCCTGTGGGGAGGGATGGGTAAGCCAAGGCACAGTATGTTGTATTTCTCATGGGCTGAAAGTGCCCGTAGGAATATCAACACACCTTGTGCAAAGTCAGAGTACAGTTACACCTCACTGCGTGTCAGAGTTTGAGACAGTTCACAAGATATGAGTTGTTTGCTTTGAGTTTTTGCTCTGTGTGTTGATCTTCATTCGAACCAAGGGATCGTTAAACTGTAGGTGCAAAACCACTTCTATAATCGATCAGACAAGAAGGTGTTGAAGTTATTTTGTCTTCTGTTCTTCTAGTCAACACCTGGCTTTGGGGCAAAAACCTTTCCCAGAGTGTCATGGTATTCTACAGCAGTTCTCTGCTGTTGCTGAATCAGTGAGCTGAGGTTGTTGGTGTATTGGAAGCACTACTGAGCTGTTCAGTCCATTTGGCTCCTCAAGGAAAGGTTCTTTAAAAAAAAAAGGTTTTACTGGCCTGCACCATTGCTCTTCAGACGTGTCCTGTCAGCCTGACTGCTCCTCCTTTCCTTTGCCAGGATGATGATGTGGTTCTGTGGCAGAAGAGGAGGTATGGCAGGGAAACCCCCGTCCCCATGGAGGAAGGAAGTCTCTTGGATGCAGATATGCTCATGTCCGAGTTCACCGACACGCTCTTCTCCACGCTGTCGTCACACCAGCTCGTGTCCTGGCCAAACTCCAGGGACATAGGTACTTCTTGGCTGTAGCTGTGTTGCAGTGAGAACCTCTGTGAGACGTCTGGTTGGTTGCTTTGCTGCTCTAGTGCTCTTGTTTAGGAGATCTCTCTTATATTGCTGATACAGATAGAAATAGGTCAGGGAGTGTAGCTGATAAGCTGCACATAAGCTATAAAACTTATGCTTTGTAGGTTATGGAATCCCAGTTATTCATCCAAATTTAGCTTGTGTCTTAGCTTCTTACGTGCTGCTTTGGCCTCTGGTGTTGCTCTGACGTGTAATGAGCAGCGTTCACCCGGAGCAGTGGGGAGGGCATGGTGACCTGTCTCAAAGCACAGGTGTGTGGGAGTGTGTCTCAGGGAGTACCTGTGCATTTCCCTTGGGTTTGTCCCTTCAGAACGAGTGCAAGTCAGGTCTGTAAAAGCAGTCCCAGAGCTGTACAGTTTGTCTGAAGGCTCTGACTGTCGGAAAGGACAAGAAATGTCCCCTGTGCATTGTCCTTTCTGCATGGGTGTCTGAGCAGCTCCAGAGCACCTGGTTTACATGAGGCATACTCAAGGCAAAGTGAAGTGGATAATGGTTTACTTTAAAATACTGTGCTATGAGCTGTGCTGGCTCAGGATGTGCTTCCCAGCACTGTGCTGTGCAGCAGGAGCAGGACAGGAGGTTTGGAAGCAGGAGGCATCCGGGCTTGGATGGGACTGTTAGAGCCTTCAGGTTTCACCTCTTCCATTTCACGAGCTGAAAGTTTCATTCCCCGGTGGCTTTGGTTTCAGAACTGTGCTGCAGCTCTGAAGAGAAGCAGATGCTCAGTCCAGCAGTTTGCCTGTATTTCTAGGCCTGGCTGTGGAGGGTGTGTGGGTGTCCTAACCAAGTGCTTAGTCCTGCTGCTCTTCCTGTGTGAGTGATGTGCAGCTAATCTAACCTGTCTCCCAAATTTTGCAGGGCACTTAGGAAATGCTGACATGATTCAACCAGGGCTTATTCCTCTCCAGCCGAATTTTGATTTTATGGATACCTTTGAGCCTTTTCAGGGTAAGAATCATATATAGAGTCAATGAATTTTGCTAAAATTGCAGTGACTGAAGAGCTGGTTTTTAAAATAAGATTAAATGTTGCAGATGTCTAAGGTTTTCCCATGCAACACTTCTTAGTGATTTAACACTTTGTTTGCTGTTGAACATTTTATGGTACTATCAAGAATTCCATATGACATTAAACTACTGCTGACAACAGTGATGGTTGTGGATCTTCATGGAAGTCAAAAGTCACATCTGTTTGGCAGCTCTGCGTGGAGTCTGCATCAGATAACTGAACTCTGTGGGTCTGCACAGAGGACCAGCTCTTGGCTGTCTGTGTGTAGGTGAACCTTACACACCTAACTGGCTTTTGTATTGTCCCAACTTGTGTGGAAGTTGGTCTGCCCTGAAGAGATCAGTTCCTCCTGAAAACAATTCATTGCTGTCAACAGCAGTTGTATGAAGCAAAAATCTCAGGATTTCGTTATTTGCTGAACACTACTGATGCTCTTGTGAATTTTAGGATCTAGCAATGCTGTACCTCAAGTGTGGAAAGCAGAAAATTAATAGGTGACTTTTCCTTTTTCAGAATTATTCGCTCCCAGTCGCTCCAGTAATTATTTCCCTTCTGTGTCTGCTGTCAGCTCAGCTACCACAGACAGCAGCAGCCACTCCTCCCAGGTAAGAGTTTCTCGGTGTTTAGAACTTTGACACGAGCCATGTCCTTCTTGGAAGGAGTTCAGACGTGCCTGGATCAGTAACACTTTTCCTTCCCGTCAGTCTCCTGTCCTGCCGTCAGGTTCCTTGCCCAACACGCTTCCAGCTGAGAGCATCAGTGATGGGCTCATTGCCTCCTCAGTCCCTGCTCCTGTCATTCCTGACGTTGGCACTGACCAGTGTTCCAGCATTAGAAGCGGGGGATCCTTCATCCAGCCAGCAGACTTCACTCCAGACTCGTCCCTCAGCGGGCCACAGACTTTTATGCCAGTGTTCCAGACACCCTTACCACTGCTGCAACCTGCCACTCCACAGCACCAGTCCCCACTGCCCACGGTGCCTCTGACCTCCAGCCTGAGCTCTCCACCCGCTGCGTTTGCTGCCCCAGAAGCCCCCAAGTATGGGCTCTGTGAATCCACAGTGATCACACACACAGCTTCTGCCACGCTGACCCACAACGCCCCTGCCACCACCTTCAGCCAGAGCCAGAGCCTGGTCCTGGCCACGCAGCAGCCAGGGGCAGGAGTGCCCTGTAACCTGAACTGCTGTGGTGCAGGGGCAGCCCCGGCCCCAGCTGCAGTCCCAGCTGACGTTTGCACTCCCCAAAGCTGTTCCTCTGGCCAGTGCTGGGACAAGGCCCACGCAGACATCAGAAATAGTGCCTGCTCCGAAGCCTGAAACAGTGTCCTTATTGGTAAAGAATGCCTTCATCACCCCAGGTGAGGAGCACTGGGGGGACATGGGTTTCTTTCCTGACTGTGATGAGCAGGAGGGAAAGACCTTCTTGCTTTTCTGGGTTTGCATAGTAAGTTAAAATGCAACTTCCTGAGGGTCTCCCTGGAACCCTTGGATCCCCTGGGGTGTGGATACACTGTCCAGTGGGATGCTCTGGACTGCTGCAAGGGCTGGAAGTGGTTTGGTTGTGAGTGTGAAAAGCCAGCGTGGGAAAGGGAGTCTCTCCTTGTGACATTTGTGCTGCATCAACACGTGGGCTGACGTGGGCTGTGCTCCTGCCGCAGACGAACCTCAGGTTTGGTGTGTGATGCTGTTGTGGTTGACTCTGCCCCCACAGAGCATTCAGCCACCGTGGAGATGGTAGGGAGAGAGTTAGCCCTAGGAGAGGAGACCAGAGATCTCCTGAGGGAGCTGGAGAGCTTGGTCTTGAGCAGTTTACAGACTCTCGAGATACTCTCAGGAGCATGTGGGTTTTGGGTCAGAGCGTGAGCACCTACTGATGTTCGTGGGACCTCCACTGAGCTGCTGGCACTGCACAAAGCTAAGAATAGCAAGATGAGCAGAGAGAGTTTTGCTTGTGGTGGTTTCTGTGGGAAAGCTCAAGGCTAGAGCAGGACAGGCAGTACACTTTTCCTTGGGAATATTGCAGGCTGTTTTTAGCCTTGTGCTGGCTGAGGGCCCAGTGACTTCAGCCACTTGAAATGTGCAACAATAATGCTAGAAAAACCCTGCCTGGAGGACTATTGTTACACAAGCTTTACTAGGGAGTAGGTGTGTCTGCCAGGGCCTGACAGTGTGGTTACCCACCAAAACAACCAGGAGCAGAACAGACCCAAGGATCTAATTCTGGCTTGTCATTGGGAACAAGTTGGTCCGTGATTAATAGCACTGAGGTGTTAATGGCAGTGTTCTATCTATAGTAGGTTAGAAACCAAGAGTCCATGTACTTTCAGCGGTCAAGACATGCATTTCTCACCTAGTAAAGCATTGTAGGCAACTCATTTTGAGAAAGCCTTTGCTTCTAGTTTTTTCAGTGCTTCCTAAGTTGTCCCTTACCTCATTTATCAATTTCCCAGTGTTTCACCAGTTACTTTTAGACTGTCACAACCAGTGGCTTTGTTTCTCATCTAGGTTTAAAGCTGTTGCAGTTTTTCACTCCTGGCAGTGGCATGTCTTTGGGGATCACAGGGCTCCTAAAGAACTGGGATAGCAAGCTCAGAGGACAAATCCAATGTTTTGTATAAAGACTAGAGCTTTATTTTTGGCAACAAAATAAACATCAGTACTTCTAACTGAGTCATTTCTGCTGTCAAACAAATCATCTCCTGACTATAAAGCCAATTGCATTATAACATTCACTGCCCTGTGCTGTAAGGACTCAGAAATCTGCATAGATTGTCTGATCAGGTACAAGACTTCACATGAGGAAGAGCTCTGCTGTCACCACTTCAGGGTAAATGTTCTGGTTTTGAAAGGAAAGCCTGAAAAGATGCATGTGTAGAGTAGAAACAGGAAAAACCTAAAGTGGCATCTAAATACTCCCTGAGTGCTGCAGTTCCCCTAGTGTGGCAGTCAGCAGTGCCCAGCCTGTGCAGCAGATTGATGCCCTGGGAAGAGCAGACTCTGGAGCTCAATAGAGATGTCCTAAGTCCAGCCAGACATTGGTGAACAGTGGAAGGGTTGTGATTCCAGCTTTGGATGAGGAATGCTCAAAGAATGAGCTCCCTGTGTGAGAGGGACAGTGCTCTCTGCCAGACAGACCCACACAAGGGCTGGCACAAGGTTGGTGCAATCCACAGGCCTCTGATAAAGGCTGTGCAGAAACCTCAGTTGATTGAAAACACAGTTGTTAGTCACAGATGATGTGGTCGGGGGGATGTTAGCTAATCCTGCACTGTCTCCCTGTTCTGCTCTGTGTCCTTCAGCATCCTGAGGCTAAACTGCAGGGACTGAGCTGTGGTGACACTTTTTGTGCATCATGACTTTATGAGTACAAAGGAGAGTTGAAGCCAGTACAGGCAAGAGTGAAACCGAGTCAGTTTGGCAGACAGAAGCTGTGTCTTTGCATGATGCTTGCCTTCGTAACGGTGTAGGATGCTTGGTCAAGTTCCTCTAAACTCTGGGCCAGAATCATGTCAGCATTAATGCCATGGTAGGAACTGCACAGCTGCACTGGTTCAGTGGAGATCTTCACAGATTTGTGTGCAGGCATTTGCTGCTATTCAGAATTCTCTCTAGCTGTCTAAGTACTGCAGAACTCCTGGTTCTTCAGCCTGTTTCCTGGAATTTTTGTGCTGACTCCCGGTCACATTTGGTTATCTCGTGCTCGTGTATCATCTAAAGCAGCTGTAAAACCAGATAGTGGAAGAAGCTGGCAGGATGAAGTGGTGAGGAAAAGGATGTAATATATGTATAAGGAAACATGAAGTGCTGAATCCTTGGCCCTTCCTGGGCCAGCACAACAAGCCTGAAGTATGGATGTGAGAGGTGAAAATGATCCTCCTCCTGTCAAACCCAGCTCTGACAGAATGAAGAGACTTTGTAGCTTCCTGAGTTACTATGTACCTCTGTAAATTGGTCTTGAAACAGTGACAGTGATGCTAGAAGCCTCCAAAATAACTGATGTGTTGGAGTCCTTTGTACTGGATGAAGGGGATTGAGATTATTGGAACACTGGTAGCATTTTGTCCTGCAATGAAATGGTACCAAAGAGGTGTCCATGAATCCATCCCCTGTTTAATGCCAAGTTACTTAATGCAAAATAATCTCCAGTTTTGTCTTTTTTAATCTCATTAACTATTCTAACTGAATTGTGTTCTTCAGCTGCCTTTCAGGGACAGTCCAGAGCTGTGATTGTAACTCCAGCACCTTTAAAAAGAGAGGGGATTTTGACGCCAGCCACGTCTCAGTCTAATGTTGCAATTGCACCAGCTGGAATTGTCAGAGTAAGGAGAAGAAAAAATGCATATTTGTTTTCTGGGCCTGTTATTTGCAAGTGGAGAGAGCCGTAGTGTGCTCAGGAGGGTAACTGCTCCTCCAAACCTCACCTGGTACCCAGTGTGTGCCTCTGTGCACCGAGCATTGCGGTCGCTGTTCTGTGGGCCTGGAGGCACTTTAGAGTCTTCCCAAGAGTCAGATTCCAGAGGCATGGATGCACAGTGCTGTGGATGGGGCTGGTAGGTGCTGTGCCTGTGCAGGAGGAAGGAGGAGCCCAGGATGCTCACCTTTTCCGTCCTGGAAAGCATGCCTGGAGCATGGGATGGGTTTCCCTGGTGCGCTGTGTGCAGGAAGGTGGCAGCAGACGTTAGTATGTTATGCTGTTGATGTGTTGTGATCCTGCTCTGAGTCATGAGAGGATACTGGTCTGCTGGAAGCCTGACCTCAGTGCCTGCCAGTTCCTCACGTGTTAGCCCTTGTTTCATGTCATGTTAATCTTGTATTAATTTGCTACTTGTAGTGAAAGGCAAGGTAACAAATCTCTCTCTCTTTCTCTCTTGCTCTCTCTCTCTCCCCCCTTTCTCTCCCCCTTCTCTTCCTCTGCCCCCACGCTCCCCTCCTGCTCTCTTTTTCCTTCTCTGTTCCCTCTGTGCTGTCTCTGTGCTGTTCCCAGGCTCCCGTGGTGACCGAGTTCCATAGTAACATTCTGGTTGGTCCAGCACAGCAAGCACCAAGTAGTCAACAAAGCCAGTCCACAGTCTCACATCTCTTCTCTCCTAGTGTAGTCCAGGATGTGCTGGTGAAAGGAGAGCACATCCCTTCCCACAGTTGCAGTTCACAAGTTCCCTCACCTACACCTAGTAAGTTAGAAAGCTGTAAACGTTCTCTGTCCCCTGCACATGGAAGTGTTTGGTTAGGGAGGGTGTAAATGGGCCTCGAGGATTCCTGAGCATTTTTAAAGGAAAAGCTTTTTTAGGCCCTTCTACGCTGCAGCTCCAGTTGCATCCAGTTGTTTGCAATTTTTGTCTTCAAATGACCGTGCAGTGTTCCCGCAAACTGATTTTGTGCTTCCTGGAAGTGGCTCTGTCCTAAAAGCATGTACTGATGTAGTCACCAGGAAATTAAACCCAGTGAAAGGCATCTGTGTGGGAAGTGCTGAATAGGTTTGTGGTTCAGTATCCTAGCTCAGATTTTGCCTGGAGGATCTCAGACAGTCCTTGGTACCAGTAGGTAAGTGCAAAGATTCCTCTCACATGTGTCGGTGGAGCAGTGACTGGTTTGGTGGTACATGGCTGGAAAGTGTTGCCATCCCATCCCAGGCTGCTGGAGTCAAACAGAGCAGTCCAGCAGGACGATGGAACTGCAGCCTGTGTGCTCAACATGCCTTTTTGTGTGTGAAAAGTGTGTCACATCTTCCTATTTGGGATGTTCTGCACTTGTGCCATGACAAGCTAAGCCTTCCCAGCAGTCTCGACGTTTTCTGGCATGCGGTTGCTGCATCAAAGAGTACATTTAATTGCTGACTGCATTTCAGTTCAATTCTGAGTAGAGACTTCTCAGCAGTTACATTTGCTACAGAAAGTTGTTTGTTCATGCGACTTGTGTTTCTTCCTTTATGAAGGCCGAGACTGTCAGAATTCAGGCCAAGCTTCCCCCTGCACCCCCGAGCAGAGCCCCAGCCCACAGTCTCCTCAGAACAGCTGCTCAGGAAAACCTGCCACGGACCCCACGATGGCTGCACTTAAGGTGTGTGTCCTTTCCATTGAGGGGCTCTTCTTCTTTGCCTTTGTAGCTACTGTTCTGTCCTGATGCCTGAGCACGGACTAGAGAAAGTTGTGCTTCAGGACAGTAGTGTATTTGTGTGTTAGGCTTAGCTTGCTGCTGCCTCTGTGCTGCTCTGTTCAACTCAAATGTCAGGCTGAATAATCTGCTCTGCTCCTCAGGGATGTGTCACCAGAGGGGCCAGGTTTAGCTGTGCCTCTGCAGGTCCTTATGGTCATGACAGCAGTTCCTGCTGTGGCTCACAGGAGTGTTGTGACAGGTCTCAGTTTTCTTGGTCAAAGGTTTCAGGCTTAGTGTGCTAAACCGTGGCTTTTTGCCATTGTTCTGTTGGGGCTCTTCAGTCTGCAGGGCTCTGGCCATCGCTGGAGGGGAAGTTCTTGACCTGCTGAGTTACTTACATGTCTGCAGTGATGCTATGCTGCTCCACAGAGAAGCAGCTCCACAGACTCTACGAGTTACACCTGTAAAACACTTGGAGAATTATTGGGGTAAGAACTCGGCGGTCTAGAGTTAGCACCTGAAAGCTGCTTGTACCTCATGCACAAACTGACCTTGTCAGAACACTTGCTGTGGTGGTATGAGAAACTTACCCACCAAAACCTACCAGTGCAGGACAGTCACCTGTGACCCCTCACTCATTCTCTCGTGAAAGGGGGTGTTACTTAGCTGTTCTGCAAGCACCAGCCCCTTTCTAGTTTCTCTGGCTCTGGGTATGCCCCAGGAGTTGATGTCAGTTTGATCACTCCCAGGGTAGGAAGGTAAACATCTGTAGCCTGCGATTGCACTCAGTTCTAGTTCTGCTGCAGAGCAGATTCAGAACTGGCCCTTGCTGACCATGCTGCAAGTTACTCCTAAAAGCTTGCAGCGATTTCCTTGGCATGGATGCTCACAACCAGTAGTTGCAGCCTGTTCCTGCTGCTGGAGAGCAAGTTAACAAAGGCACAGGTTATTGGGGCTGGCTGCTGGTGGGAGAGGGGTCACTAGATGGACGAGTGTCCTTAAAAGTAAGGACACTGCAATGCAATAGGCTTTATGGCCGTTCAGACTCGCCTGCTCTGACAGGAATTGCTCTGGATGTGTACTGTTAGCAACCCTTTTGTAAGAGGAGAGTGATCTTTGCCAGTCCTTACGTGTATGGTCTTTTGCTCCTCTGCATTGTTAGTTGGATTCTGCAGTTCTGTATTGCTAGATAACATTGTTATTTCAGTTTGGCAGAGCATAGAGGGCACTGGGAGTCTCAGCTCTGCTCTTGAACCTGCATTTTCTGTGGGTTTGGGCACACTTTCCTGCATTGTTTCCCCCCATTGTCAAGTGGTGGTGGTGAGCTCCCGGAAAGCTTCGCTGCCAGGAGTGAGTTCTCTAAGTGCAATCTCTGTTCAAGAAGTTTCTTTGCCCCAGGCTTCCTGCAGCAGAGTCCCAGGCATCCAGATCCAGGAAAAAAGTGTAACCGAGTGGTGCAGCAACAGGGACAGCTCGAGCTGGTGCCTCCAGACAGGGACCCAGCACAGAAGTCCCTGGGCGTTACACCCATACGGGATAAGGGGATAAAGGGCTCTGCACCCTTCTCACTCCTGCCCTTGCCTCCCGGCCCCGTGGCCGTTTGGGAGCTGGGTGGCTCCAGGCAGAGCAGCTGCTCTGTGCCAGCTGGGGCTCAGCTGGCCGGGC